ACAATACTGACTGCTGTATTACTGACATTCAACGTGACCTGATCGGTTTAGCTCCATCACGTCTCGAATGCGCACACCAACAGCCTTCCACTTCTGATGTATATAATGAATGTAGAGCCGAAGGATTTATTGCAATTACATACCAATATAAAAACCGAGGCAAAGCCGAGGTTCATATTGGTAGGTACTTCAAAAAGTAATTGCAAGAAATCTCGAGGCTGCTACATTTAGATGTTGACCTGCACTTCCCCCAAAAAAGGAGTATTTTATAAACAGTCTTTATTGGCCTTAGTAGTATTTTATAAAATAATCGTGTTTATTGGTGAAGTCGGTTGTTCCAACGAGGAACACACGCTTCCTGCCGAACGTTGACTGACTCGCGACTGCCATCCGGAGCACACGAGGAGCGTGTCGCACCTTCCACTCGGCGAACTTGCAAGAAAGCACCACTCCCTGCTCAATACACAGTGGCCCGGGAATTCACCCCTCATCAGTTGAGCTTGAGTAGGCTGAGGAAGATTGTGCCTGAAAAGCACCACTTATATAGTGCCCTCCAGGCCAAACCATCACCAGGGATACAAACTTACAGAGACGCTTGGTTTCAAAAGCCAATAAACACTGTTTATAAAATACTCCTTTTTAGGGAAAAGTGCAGGGGTATTTATTGAGTCAAACAAATTTATTTGGATTTGATACTGTTGACGGTGTAGTCACTAATTAGTGTGCATACTTATTTTAAAGGAGAAGTATACCTTAAAATCAAATTTTCACCAGCTGTAGTCGTTGGGGTGCTAAGTCGAATGGTCTTGGCCCGAGGAAGTTAAGACACTCCGTTCCTCCCTTATTCCCAATCAAACTTGCGCACTTCCATCGAAACTGGGTGACTGCGCCCTACTAGTGGGATTTGTATGCAAAATGTCACTAAAAGTGCCATTTCGTTCTTATAAAAGCTCGGATGGCCGCGATTGGCCCATCTGTTGCAATATTTTGGACGCTTGATCGACTGGTTCTGGTCCGAAAAGGTTACGATGCTACGTTCGGCCCTTATTCCCAATGGAACACGGTTGAGTAAGTGGTCACGTGCTCATGCGTACACCAGTCACCTGGTCACCGTGCCCGCGGGCTACAACTTGCAGTCTGTTTGGATGCGTTCCTGTCACTCAAGTTGAACCCTTGAGCCTTTGAGTTGAACCTTGGTGTGAATTTGTAGCCTGTAGGCACGGTGACCAGGCGACTGGTGTACGCATGAGCACGTGACAGCCTACTCAACCATGTTCGATTGGGAATAAGGGCTGAATGCTGCATCGTAGCCTTTTCGGACCAAAACCAGTCGACTCGGCGTCCAAAAGACTACAACATATGGGCCGCGGCAATTGCGGTCATCTGTGCTTTTATAAGAACTAAATGGCGCGATTAGTGACATTTCAAGTTCCACGCAAATCCTCATCTAGTAGGGTGCAGTCACCCAGTTTCGGTGGAAGTGGCGAGTTCGATTGGGAATAACGGAGGAAGGGAGCCTCTCAGCTTCCTCGGACCAAGACCATTTGACTCAGCACCCGAAGACTACAACTTGTGAAAATTAGATTTTTAGGGTATACTTCCCCTTTACTAAGGTCAATATATGAACTTTTGACGTGAGAAAGGTGTTACGTGTCCGTGTAACTTCCCCTCTTTTTTTCTTTCTTATCTTCGATAAACTTGAGCCTCCCAAGTTGGGTGGTTGTTGTTTCGCGTTCTTGAAGTGAGCCATGGCCGTCCTGTGCCGTCACAGTGGTCCTTCGTCTTCTGTCATCATCTTGTCACAGTTAACATTCTTAGTTTGCTGTGATGTTTAGCTTGTTTTCGTCTTGAGTGCGCACGTTCGCCTTCCCCTTTCTTACGCTATTTCATAACTAAGAACCTTCAAAGTTTGAAGGCTGTTGGTGTGCGCATTCGAGACGTGATGGAGCTAAACCGATCAGGTCACGTTGAATGTCAGTAATACAGCAGTCAGTATTGTGCTAACTGCTGCACGTTGTGACTCACTAGTAGCCTGCTTATAATTGTCAGTGCTGGACAGCTACTGATAACATTTCAACCTTTGGTCCTTTCTTCTAGGTGTTATTTTAAGTGTTACTACATCAGTTTGAGCGAGTTGCAGACAGGAAAAGTCTGCGGGTCACGCGGTAGTATTGCATGACATTGACCAACACCGGATACTGACGAACTATAACTGTCCATCAGCTAGAAAGTAACTGGTGGTATTAGTGGACATTCAGAGCGTAACTTGTAAATTCCTTGATCCATTTATTTCCTATATTAAAATTAATCCTTGGTTCTCCATCCGAGTCCATCCACACATCAACATAGTTTACTATTATTGCTCTTGGTTCTTGTTCAATCCCTTTGAGGGACGACAACCGCTGGAATGTGTGTGTTACAATGACAGCCGCCATGTCAGCTCATATTATTGATGCCGCGTGACGTAACTTGATACATGGTATTATGTAACCCAATATTAGTTCAAAACTAGTATTAGATAAACATTGTTACAGTTCACGCCGATATTGTTGGATTGACAGCATGAAACAAGGTGGTGAAGGCCTACCCATGGCCACGTCGGGACATCGCCAACCCCGTCTACAGAGAGCACCTTCTCGCGACAGTGTCATGGTGATGACAAAAAAAACTGTTGACAGCTGACGAGCTGAGAGAAGGACGTCATGGGCAGAAGTCGGAAGAAAAGAAGTTTTTTTTATACAAGTTGAAGTTTCAGTGGCCGCATGACCACCAGGATGACATAAAGAAAAGAGCGAAGAATACCAAGACGGACGTCAGGAGTAGTCTCCTACCCCCCCCCCCCCCCCCATCATAATGAGGGTCAGAACCGGGTGCGACACCCATATGGTTCAGATGGTCCGCAGGGACCGGGGCTCTGCCAACCGCGGAAGCCGGTTGTAGTAAGGTCACTGTTTTCGAACACAGTGTCCTCCACCTTGTTTCATGCTGTCAATCCAACAACTTGATACATGTAGTGGATTGAATTGCAAGTATTGGGATACAGCCATTCACTCCCGACTCATTTACAGTGTTGAGGCTTGCTCAATTTTCTAGTTTTCCTTCGGAAGTTCCTCCACTGATTGATTGGTTACAACAACTAAGGCGGTGTAACGTGCACAAAAGCATGAATTTAGCAATCACAATACAATGAATTTAGCAGTCACAATACAATGTAATTACAAACACATACTGTATACTGTAAAAGCCATAATATATAACAAAGTGCTAACTTTAAATCTGTCGCTAAAATAGAAATCGTTATACACAAATTGACACATATACTGTCCTATTGAGCGTTGAGAGTGAGTGAGAATCGTTACCTTTGGTACAAGTAAACTAGTCAATTTTGGGAAATCGTTACATATGCACCTCGTTAGAATAATGGCTTTTACAGTATCTCCATGAACCGATTGTTAAAACCAACGGTCACAATTGCAGTTATACTTGTAGCCAACTTCTTAGACATGCTTGTCCTGTGACATCCAACATAATCCAAAGGATCGGAACCGCCCAGTGAATATTTAGATCTTCAGGGAACTGCGGCTGGCCGCTCAGATGCCCAGTCAGTTTCCGTTGGTCTTATCATGCTCGTATGCATCACCACGTATTTTGAGGAACCTCAAAACTCAAACTTGGGTGTTTTGGTTCCACGAGCCATCAGGTGCAGCACAGCAGGCCAAAGATGGCGGTCAGTGGCATATTGGACGTAACGGGTGGGGCAGTGGTAGCTCCCCCGACCAAAGGACTCGGGTTATTGTACTGCACTCTGTACTACGCTGTTTTGCACTATGTTTTTTTGTTGGCAGTGCGCATGCCGGAGCGCAGTCCCTGCAATATACTCGTACAGCTACTGCTTACAGGGTCGATCCCCCCACAAAGTCAGTTGGCCCAATGTCCTTACCCCCTTACCCCCCCCCCCCCCCCCTGAGGCCTGCGGACACGATATTGCCAGAGTTTCCTGAGGGATTCAAAGCTTCCTTTCCCACCGCGCCATAGTTTCCAAGACACCTTTGCCGAAACTGTAACTTCCCTGTGTGAAACTCCTATAATTTTCGGTCTTTTCCGGTAGTAGACATCCTTAGCAAAAGTACGATAACGCTAACTTTTATGGTACTCACTCCCAGCCGTGACAAAAGACGTTATCGGATAACGGAAAAACGTTACAGAGCTCAAAATAACGGGCCGACGTTCGTTATGGAAATTCTGCAAAAAATGCAAAAACTCGCATTGTTTTGTAACTGGCGGGAGATAAAAAGCACGTCGACGTGCAGATCGAGATGAGATCGAGAGTCGAGATTGCTTCCTCTTGTGACATTTAGCTTTTTGGCGAGTTTTGCCTTTCAGTTGACAATTTCTGCGTCCTCTGCTTCGTGCCGTTCTCCCTCTATCCCATCTGGGAAACAAAGGACCAGTTCCGCGGCACTCCTGAGGAAGAAATTCATCGGCCTCTCCCAGACGTGCTGGAGCTGGAGAACCCTTACAGTCTTCGGTGCTGCGTTTAGGAAAGGGTTTCCAAGGACCTGGGAACAGCGAAAACTCATGTTCGCCGTGCTTTTGCTATTCCAGAGTAAAAGACCTCGCCAAGGTATTCTTTCGGAACGACAGCAAACTAATCCCTGGTTCAAAATTTTGAATTTCCCGCATCTGTTTCCACGAAAATTCATATCGACATGGTTGTCACGACTACTTCGTCTCAACTATAACGTACTTTGTGCTAAGGGAAAAGTCAGCTTGAACGATCCGAGGTACGGAAAGGTTTGCGTTTACGTTAGCGTTTTTTTAGCTAAGGATATCTAATATCCAATAATTACATCCAAGAGTCGGACTTCTCGGCCTTTTTCCGTTCAACTTTTCGACTCCCGAACCCAGTTTCCGTCGAACGCGACATCCGAAATTCGAAAATTGGTAAATATCTATCATTTTCAATGAGTAATACTACTGATTGTAAACCAAATCCTTACTTTCTTCATTGTCCAAACAACAGAGGCTGAGCTGACAGCTTGCGAAAATAGTTCAGCTTAGCGGCTTACGTGGGACGAAGAGAGGGACGAACGTTGGAGCTAGCAAAACAGCAAACAGCACCGAACCTGCAAAGTAATTGAATACATGTACATGTAGATAGTAAAATGTAATAATTGTCCCTTCCCACAATTCGTCAACAAAACAGACAGTGTTTCTTACAAAGACTTATAGAGTAATTCCTCGTATCGGAACTCTTTACGAATAGGACACTTGCGAACTGCGTTAGCGCTCGCTAGAAGACGTACTTCTTCCCTAACAAAATAATAAAATACTACTACTACAACTACTACTTCTTCGCTGGCTACAGTTACCGGCCGGAGACACAGACAGGGCCTTCGGGTAAACAATCTGAAACTGACTTCGCTGGAAGGAAAGTAGGAATGAAGCTACAAGTACAAGTAGTGGAATTGTAGTCCTACACTAGCTAGATCCTGCTACTTTCGAAAGCTTGTAAAAATAGTTGTGACAAACAAGCGCAATCATCTGACACACACTACACAGTCAGTACACATTGTAGCCCGTCCACGGCATGTATGGCATACATGCCATACATGGGCATGGTCAGACTCATAATACATGTACCGGTATGATGATCTCCGTCAGTACTGACAGTACTGGTCACCTACACCACTGACTGTATATGTACACAGACTGACAGTTCTTACCAGTACTGTAGCAGTAGTACTGCAGTGGCAGTTACAATTATGTACTAGTAGTAGGCAGTAGATCTACGAGTTCAAGTCCTAGCGCAGGCGCTAGCGGCTAGGCCTAGGCCTGCATGTAGGGGGGGGGGGGGGGGAGTACTACTACTACAACGTATAAATGTTACAACTACTCGCGATCATGCTCACTCCCTGCATGCTCCGCATACCCCGAAAATAAAAAAGCATCATTCCACAGCGATTCTGTGACGTCATGTTTTGTGTCATGACACAAAACACGACGTCACAGCTCAGAATCCCTGTGGAATGACGTCATTCGTGTACGCGGCGCGATTTTTGCAGACATTAATGTTTTTTATGTAGATCTAGAAAATGTGGTAAATACCTCTTTCATTATTGTAGATAGCATGAAAATTAATACTAGTAGTACATGTAATTGGTTTGCCCATTCCAAGCGTGGCGAACATGTTCAGGCTTCTGTCAAGATGTCTCAGGCCTCCCAGTCGTCCTACACGAAGCTGGGAGCGCACTGTTTTCTGCTTTAATGTGGAATGGCAACCATCTTTGGACATGGAATTTGTAATAGAAAATAAGGAACTGATCAAAGAGAATATCAAGAATAGAAAGATCGATGTGGACCTTGATTCAGTTCTCTCTGACTATGACGCTTATTGTAAGCTGAAAGTGGAAGAGCAAGAGCTGAAAGACCGTGTTACCTCTCTCCGGAAGGCGGTACGAGGAGGAGGCGTATCCGAGGAAAAGAAAGCCACAATGACCGATCAGCTTTGTGATCTGAGTGACAGAACTGATGTGAATCGCCCCGCAAGAAAGGCTGCGTATATAAAACATCGAGATAGTGCTGTTGATGTACCGAATTCGATTTCCCCACACACGCCAGTTGGCGATTATGAGAAAGCTCAGGTGGTGGACACGGTTGGTGAAAGACCTACATTTGCATTTAAGCATCGCGATTACATCGCATTGAGTAATATTCACCGACTGCTTGACCAACCATCAGCTTTGTTTGCCTCTGGTCCTAACCGGATGTTTCTGCGTGGACCTGCAGCAATGTTGGAACAAGCGATTATCAGCTATGTTTTCCAGCTGATCTACTCAAAGCCTGGCTTTGAGCCCGTTCTTGGACCTGATATTATCCGCGAGTCAGTTGTGAAGGCATGTGGATATGTTCCTCGCGGAGACAAGGAGCAGATGTTTCGTCTTGGTGGAGAGGATGACGATCTCGTATTATCCGGTACTGGGGAACTACAGATTGCTGGCATGTGTTCGTCCAGTGGCCACCCAAGCCACAGTCTTCCACGGAAATATGTGACTGTTAGTCATTGCTTTCGGCGAGAAGCCGAGGGAGGTATGTTTTACCGGATGAATCAGTTCAGCAAAGTGGAGCTGTTTGCCATCACTCAGAATGATGTTGAGAAGAGTGATGCTGTTCTCATGCAGTTTGTTAATATACAGAAAGAGATTCTGTCCAGTCTGGGCCTGCATGGGCGCTTACTGGAGATGCCCACCGAGGAACTAGGCAACCCTGCGTATCGTAAGCTTGATTTTGAAGTGTGGATGCCCGGGTATGATGACTATAAGGAAGTCTGCAGTGCATCAAACTGCCTGGATTATCAAGCACGCCGCTTGCAGATCTACAAAGGCGGTTACAGAACGCCGCGCTTACCAGCGTATCCAGACCGAGTGTGGTTGCATACTGTCAACGCCACTGCCGCTGCAATTCCTCGTCTTATCATAGCCCTGATTGAAACTCACCAACGTGAAGATGGCACTATTGGCATTCCCGAGTGCCTTCGGCCATTCCTGGGAAACCGTGAGTGTTTCAGTCCACCTTCGCCGCCAAGGACAAAGGACTTCAGAGGCAACAATCTAATACGAGATTTCCATTAGTCGCGTGTTCTAGCCACCCAAGTCATGTACTACTGACACCCAAGTCATGTGAAATCACAATGCACGTTTGGCCACGTTTCTCTGTGCTGGTGGTGCTAGTTCGTTGTGTACATGGTATGGGTACGCCTGCTGACTGTGTCCTGCTGCTGCTGCCTTGAGCAGTCTCTCCAGTCTCGACCAAGTTCACTTGGCATTTGCTTCTCGTGAGGTTTGCTGCTGTGCAATATTTGAGGTGTGTGTGTGTGTGTGTGTGTGTGTGTGTGTGTGTGTGTGTGTGTGTGTGTGTGTGTGTGTGTGTGTGTGTGTGTGCATGCTCTGCTGTGCAGAGCATGCACACTTTTTGCACGCTGTTTGCTAGCTTGTTGAACAAGAATGCTGTTGCTGCAAAGTAGTGATAGTGATGTTGAGCACTATGACTTGTGTGTGGACTTTAGTGCACAACAAGAAGATTGTGTACAGAGATGCCCTGCAGAGATGCCCTGTAACAAGCTGCATGGCCAAACTACACTGTACCTGCTCACATACATCATCGTATGCGTATGCCCTCTGACATTATTTCCGGAGCAGAAATTGTCCAGCTGCTTTCATGCTACTACTCTGAGAATCATGATTATTTTGCATTCTTTGTATCCAGTGTTGCCATGATTGGATCAGACTGGCAGTTGTTTTCAATGAGTGCTTGATGTGTTCTGGGCTGGATACTCAACGCATGCACTTTATTTTTAGTTATCACCGGTGCCCCGGTGGTCTAATTGAATGTTGTGTTGATACTACACCACGTACAATGTGGACAAGTGTTGTACAACCATAATTGTACTTGTAGGTGTGCGTGCTTGCGTATGTGGATTAGGCAGGTATCTGATGCTAGTCTGGATCTGTTTCATTCAGATCTTGTCTGCTATTGTTGCTAACTTATAAGAGAAAACCTGTGGGTGCATTAGCAGATTTGCGCGCTTCTCTTGCAACGGGTGTACATTGTGTGTGTGTGGGGGGGGGGGGGACTCTGATTTAGCCACTAACACTAAGCAAGTACAAGACCGCGTTTTCCGCGTTTTTCCCGCGTTTTTTAAACTTTGTTGTTGCACTACACGTACACACAGTGCACTGTTCGGTCAGCAACGTCTCATCGTGGCGGCTTTTTACTCAAATATGACGAGTGCTTACACCAGAGACTTGTAACTGATTGATTTCACTACATACTCACTGAAAATTGCCGCACATCAATATTATTCAGCGCATATTTACCGCAAATTCACCGCAAATTATGCCATATTATGCCGTGTTTTTCCCCGCGTTTTTTTGCGATTTTTTCCGCAATTTTCCCCGGGGACAGATGTATGTGATTTCAGACAATGGGGTATGCTAACATGGCAACTGCTAATGTCCCACACGCCGCTTTCTATGCATTGGTCAGGCCAACTGCATGAGGAGGTACCATTGAGTATCTCCAGGCGGGGGGATCTTGGCACTTGACCTCCCCTCCTGCTTTATTTATAATATTTTTTACACTGAACACACAGAGCATGCGCATTCCTAGGTGCTGTGTCCATTGGATACTACCAAGAGTACATACCCCCCCCCCCCCCCCGGGGGGTTATGTACTCTTGGTACTACTTGTAGTAGACACATAAGACCTCAACCGGTCCAGGGACAACGGCTGACTGGTTGCAGCGTGAGACCTCTACCAGGGAAGTATAGTTTGATTCATGACCTGCATGTCTGAGAGCTGGGTGATGTTGTGGACATTGAATTGTTGAGAAGTCAAGCGGACATGGGGCGCTGGCTTTGCAGCGAACACTGCTGGCCGTGAACACTGCTGATCCAGTTTCACAAGGGAGTACTACACCCTGGTTTTCAGTCCACAGTCAGTGCGAGTAAGCGCCAATTTAAAGCAGTAAGGACGCCGGCCCCGGTCATTCCACCGGATTTCAAAGTACACAACAAAATTTACATGTACTAGCAAATTTGTTCCGAAACGGTATGCTACTACTGCACTGTGTGGGCTGATAGCAAGCCGCCTGTAGAACTTTTAAGTTAAAACGACCGGAAGCACTTTGAATGCATGTCTACAGCTGGTTTAATATCATGCAGCACATAAGCAGGATGCAAGAACATCAGTGGATCCTGTAAACGTACCAATCTTTGGCAGCATGCTTCTATCCCGTTCTCACTGTCACCTAGGGACACAGGGAATGGCGTTTCTGCAGGCTCTTCTCTCCTGGCTAGCACGCATATGTCGCACTGCAAGATGCGTAATATTTCCAGTAGACATTCAGGGGGTGAGTGTTGACTTACGCTGAAGATCACCACCCTGTTCATTACAGGTACTCTCTCAGGTACTTGCTCATGTACGTGTAGGTGACCACAGCTACCACAACAAAATCATCATGGATTCTATAGACCTTTTTCAAGGACGCGGCACCGTGCAAACCCTCCGCCTAACACCTAGCCGTCTTCAAGAGGGTGGCACACATACGCACACTAGTCATGGCCCAAATTTGCCAGCAATTCTTTGCGCAAAATATCGGATGCCCAAGTTGCCGGCAAAATATGAGCAAAATATCGAGTTTTGGTGGGCTTTTTGAAAACTCCAAGGCTTCTTGTGACATAACACTGGCGCTGTGCTCCACAGGACTTTCCCAACCGTGCCAATAAACATCAGTCACTAATGCAAATACCAGAAAATGCTAGAAAATCGGGAAAGAATAGAACAACCAAAGCCGGCCAATCGGGGAAGGAATTCTGGATGAATCACAGATGCAAAAAAGAGGGCCATTCTAGAAAAAGGAAGGCTAACAAACCAATGGCCAGGCAAGACGAATCAGCAAGAAGGCAGTTCATCAGTACAAAACTTGTCTGCGTTCATCCTCGCCATCAAGGTAGCTTCAATGGTCTCCTCAAGAGATCGTTCCTGGCGGTCACTGAACAAAGAGTTCAGGAGGGAAAAGGCCCTTTCACTTGCTGCACTGCTTGGTTGGACAAGCAAAATCAACTTCAGCATCTTGGCAAGGTTGGGGAACTCAGAGGCATGGCGGCGCCACCATGTCAATGGCTGCACAGATGTATCCAAATCCTGCACGGCAGCGGCATCCAGAGGAATCTCTGGCGTAATGCTGTCTGCCAGTGAAGTGAAGGCTGGCTGCTGAGGCAGCAAAGCAAGAAACTCATCCGTAGTGGGTTGCGTGTCAGCCATGGTGTGCGGGTGGAAATAGCTGGCCAACTTGAAGAATTCCACTTGTTGGTGAAACTCAGCTTGGTTGCCATCAGCACCCACAAACTTCTTCAAGAAATGCTGGTATCCAGGCTGAACACATTGGATGCCGTAATCAGCCAACTGTTGCTGGTGTTGGGGACTGGCGGGCTGAAGTCTTTGGCTCAACGCTCTCAGCCGAGGAAAATGGGCCATGTTGATGGTTGTCTGGATGCCTTTGATCACCTTGTAAGCCACAAGGGACAATGGTCCATCACCCTCGAGGTTGTAGGTGGACTTAACAAAGACTTCACCTGCATCAACAACTGCAGCAAGCTCCAACTGGATGAGGCTCCGCAACTGTGGAGCATCCAACAGACCAAGCAGCTTCCGAACAGTGGCAGGGCTGATATCGCTCTGGGAAGCGGCAAACCCATGCACATCTGGGAACAAATCAACCAGTTGCTTCATCACCTCCCATCTGGACCACCACCTTGTTTTTGAAAGCAGCTTGACTTTGAGCCCGGTTTGCTCACGAAATGCCAAGCGAGCCTTAAAGGAATGGCTGAACAGAGACACCCAAGCATTGACAAATTCAATTGCATTGGGTATGGTGAAATACTGACCTGCACGATCGAGTGTGTGGCTGATACAAGTGACGTCAATTAGTGTTGGGAACACTTGTTTCAGGTTATTGATGGCTGCTGTGTTCACGGACGCACCATCTCTTATGGCTGCAGTGATGAGGTGGCGTGAAACATGAAGAACTTCCATGACACAGTCTATGATAGCTCCACATACATCTGCTGCATTCATAGACTTGGCAATGCACTTCAGACTTGCTAGACGTTGAACGATTTTCAAATCATCAGTGACATAACGGACAACGAGAGCAAAAGCCTCTCCCAGACGAGTTGATCCGTCAAAGATGATGGAGACGTTCACACCTTCCAGTTCCTTGCGCAGATCATTGCGATACATCTCGTGAATCACAGGGACACACTCTCGTAAGTGGCTGGTGGACGTGAGTCGCAGCCCACTCTCTTCCAGCAGATCACGGAAACTACCAGACACTTTAGTAAGCGGAATGGCTGCTTCAAGCATACAGTGAACACGCGCAGTCGATACAGCTTCGTGCTTTCCGGAAGGTTTTCTCCAACGGGATGGTACTTAGTCACATAACTCCGCAGGTGGCCTGTGATGGTTTGGCTCTCATCTTCTTTTTTGGTTTTTCTCTCCTTTGACTTCTTATGCTTCATGGATTTAATATGAGCACCAATTGAACTTTTCTTGGTTCCCAGTTCCTCCCTGCAGCATGAACAAAACAGTTTCCCACCTTCAACAATCCAGTACTCGTCCGGAAATTCAGACACCCTCTCCTTTGGTGACACGGATGAAACAAAGCTTGAGCTTTTTTCATCTGATCGACCAGGGCAAGATCTTTTGGCAGAGTTTCCAGGCGTCAAATTGGAGGGGATGGAGCGTTTCCTGGAAATTTCAGCTGGCTTTGGAGGTTGAAAACGAGCACAAAAGTTGGACAAAGTAGAATCGTTGCTAGCAGGCTGCGCAGCAGCAGGAGCTCCATCAACAATGTCGTCGTCGTCGTCAGCGACCGCTATCGTTGACTTTTCCTTGGAACTCATTTTGTGGTGACAACTTATGCCCTAGTTTGTAATGTACTGCTCTTGAAATCTTTACATTTTCTGACACTGGGAAGACCTGGAACAATAAGAGATGTGAAGAAGAACTAGAAACAAGTCAGTGTTTGTCCATCAACAAAATAGAACAATAGAAAAAGAAGCCACATTCGGATCATTGGATCCATACAGGCCGGGCCTATTCAACAGCAGTCAGTGCACAGCCAGAGTGAGACCTGTGTGTAGCTACAGCGCAGCCAGGAGCGGACGTGTACCCACAGAAACAGAATGATGCATACCAAGGGGAACAAGGGAAACACACTGCGAGCTGCAGGACAGCCAGAAATGAACAATGGGGAGCAAGATGAGCACACCACGAGCTGCAGTGCAGCGAGAAATAGACGTATGCGCACAGAAACAGAACCATGCCTACAAAAATGATCCTGTGCGAGTGTGCGGGTGCCAAAACTTAGGCAAAAGGGGCCCGTGACACATTTTTTTTCCGAGCAAAATGAAAGCAAAATATCGACAGAGAAAGGAAATGCCAAGCAGAATATCGAGACAAGAGGGGCAAAATATCGATGTGGGCCGAGCAAATTTGGGCCATGACTAACGCACACCTTCCCCCCATATCTGACAAGTCATGCACTGGGGGATTTCCCCCGCATTCACATACTGTGCACGGGCAATGTGAAAGTGTAGCAGAGTGCCCAAGAGACACACACAATAAGGCCAGCATTGCTATCAAGTTCACAATAAAAAACTACTGGTACACGTATTAAATGTTTGGAGGCATAAGCTGACTTATACCGAGTATCGGAGAAACCAGGCCAGGAATCCGAACTACAGCTGATATTTTCTATGCAAGTGAATGCATGGGTATAGCGAGGGCTGTGCCCTATACAGCAAAAGCGAGTTTCAAAGTCTGAAGAAAGTGTTGAGCAGTCTATGCTGGAATGGCGCCTATACCATACCGCAAAAGCCCCTGTATACGCCCACTCGAAATTACGCCCACCCTCCGTGTACACGCCCAGTCAGGGGAAGTGAACACTTTTGTTTCAAAATAGCGCCCATGCCCATGTATACGCCCAGGTATGCCGGCAACACCAGTACATGTACAGGTACTGATACCCAATACTTACTGCTATCCCTATTCCAAGTATACGCCCGGTTCCAAAATAACGCCCGTGCCCTTGTATACGCCCAGGAAATCGAGGCTGCTATTCTATACACCCGGGGGCCTATACACGGGCTTTTACGGTAGCTTAGTGGTAGAGCACCGCTGGCCTATGGTGAAGGTCCCTAGTTTGAGTGGCGACAGTGATTGCTAATTCTTCGTCAGACTTTCCCCCTTTTATAACTTCAAACCAATGAACACAACTGAATCTGTTTTTTTTTAAAGCTTTCGCTTCACTTTGATTTTCCACCGTATGTCTCCTGTTCACACTGCAAAGGCAAGGAGGATTGATTCAGACTGAAACAAAGCGACTGCGATGAAATAACAAGCAAGTTCCGTGAAAGCACAAGAAGATCGACGGCAAAAGTTGGACATGTTTGCAAATACAAGCCCAGAGCGGTAGCCAGCTCAATATCATAACTGCATCACCAAATGAGAGAAAGGTGAGATGAGCTGCAATAGACATTGCCATGTGCGCTGTTATGCAAACTGTCATGCATACCATGCAAACTGCCATGCATGCTAATAGTATGCACGGCGACCTGAACACATTGCTATGCCTAGCGTATTTAGTGTTGTCAGTGCACACCGCAGTAGCCGTGAAAGCACTTGGCTGCAGCTACTTGTGCACTCACTGCTAATCACCCCAATGATGGTGGTTACGTGTTCTGACAAGCGACAGTACCGTGCAATGCTGGGCAGCAGTGTACAGCCATCTGCAGCACTAAACACTGCAGCAGTGTACAGCCATCTGCAGCACTAAACACTGCAGCAGTGTAGGTATTGCACAGCACCGGACACTAGGGCACTGTAGAGTACTGAACAGCACTAAACACTACAGCAGTGTAGAGTGGTGATGTTTACAGCATTACCGGCAGAGCACTGATAACACGGCGGCCATGCTCCACGAGTAGCAGCACTCTACAATACAGTCTGTGTGTGTGTGTGTGTACGCTGGTGATGTTGCCAGCTACTACTAGTACCTGTTGTAACAGTGACACCACAAGAAGCTGATAAACATTTCACCGTACCAGTGCAGCAATGCCAGCAAGCTGTAGCAGATCAACGCGTTAGCTTCATTGGTCAGCAAGCGTATCTGTCTTGACCCAGTTGTCAGGAGGAGATTCTCGTAGTTTCCACACAGGGTTGTCCATGGCACGCCATTCTTGTGGCACACCAAAATGATCACGGTATGCTTTCACATACGCTGCCTGGTAGCATAAGGAGAGAGAGAGAGAGAGAGAGAGAGAGAGAGAGAGAGAGAGAGAAAGAAAGAGAGAGAGAGAGAGAGAGAGAGAGAGAGAGAGAGACACACACACACACACACACACACACACACACACACACACACACACACATACACACACACACACACAAGAAATCCAACACCTTTCACAGAGAACTGCCCTTATAGGTCTTAATGTACTATCAACATGCATGCAGGTCCACATCAATCACGCCTTCTGTCGCATTTGAGCACACGGCTGTGCGCCGAGGGGAATATTTCCGACACAAATGTAGATTGGCATCAGCTGGACGACAGAAATCATAGCACTCCAAACGGGTGAAGCACTATTCTGGAAAATAGGGCAGGCACCTTTACTTGTAAACAAGGGGAACCTTCTGATTATAAATAAACGGTTACTGAGAGCCCGCCTGGGTAAGAATCAACATGTGTTACAGTCGTCAGGTGATGATCAAAGTAAATGTATTTCTTTCTCATGTATTCCCATGGGAAGCATGGACCTTGATGAGCCTAGGCTAGCAGCAGCTGGGAGAAACTCAGCTTAGGCTAGCAGCAGCTGGGAGAAACTCACGAAAAATGATATAGCATCATTTTAGCAAAGTCAGGAAAGACATACCCGTGTTTCTGGATTTTTCTGTGCACGCGCACGGAGACACTTTCTCATGATATGCATGCCGTTGTCAAACGGCCTCTTGTCACCATAAACATATCGCCATTGATAATACCTGTTCGGCACTGCAGCAAATACGCACCATAAAAAAAAAACAACGGCAATACAATGTTGTATAGCTGTTCTCAACTCCATAATTTCATACAGTGATGCAATCACCAAGAGACTACTACCGTATGCCTAGGAAACATACATACATTGTACCAGCACCCCCTCCTCTCCCCCCCCCCCCCCCCCCCCAACACATACGACACACACACACACACACAAAACTGCATGCACGGTACTACAGATGAGGGGCTTTGCCACACACAGGCTCCATACGGGACTGCACAATAGTATCGCTAGGCCGGCGCCACTGGTATGGCCAGTGCGGCCATGGTTGTACCAGTTTTTTTGTTTTTTTTTCTCCAATTCCAGCATTCATGGGAGCACCAACCAACAACTGCATTCCAATATGGGCATGGGGAAATATTCGGTCATGTAGCCGACTTGGGGCCGTACCAGCACTCAGGAGCTGGCTCCGGGCCTGCATCGATAGCGTCATAGCAGGTGACCCACCATCCCTGCCGATCCTGGATGATGGTAGCAAGCTGCTCCAGAGGGACACCAAAAACCGCCAAGTCGGACTTTACTATGTCCTGACAGCGTTTACGGAGTCCATGAGATGGACGTTTGGGCGGCAACGAACCGCACAGCAGTTGACGAGGGATACGATCCGGCATGCGGGATACGTGAACGAGCCATCGAAGTTGGCGGACTCTGATCTTATCTGGTACCTCCTCAAGATCGCCCCACATCCTACGAAACTGCAGAGAGGAAATATATGCTCCTCCATCTGCCAGCTAACTATGCTGAAATCATTGTTGTTAAACACTGACTTTCGCAGCGCACCCGATGCAGCCGCAGTGAATCGCTGAGACACACCAAACGAACTCCGGGCATCTGGCGTTACATGGCTACCGAGTTAACGGACACACACACACACACATACGCATGCACATGCACACACACACACACACACACACACAGAGCGCACATGCACTCATAGTTTCTGTTTTGCTCAGTTCGAGTGGTCAGTACGCCCCACAGGGCCACAGGATGATTTTCGGCTTGGCATCTGTCAAATCGTGAATGCCGATTCCTTGAGAAGCACCCCAGCAGATTTGTTCTCACGTCAATGGGCTTGAGTCGCACCCGATCACCCACGGAAATCAGTCATGGCTACAGGGTATGGGCTCGAGTCGCACCTGATCCACGGAAATCAGTGTCGTGCCCTCTCCTGGGTTGATACCACTCCCGGGCCACAATGTAGAGATCCTCATCTCGGCGTAGAAAAACTGGACCCAAAGCACGCGAAGGTGTACACTCTACCAAGCACGTGCTCTTTTACGTGATATCTCTAAGTTTTACACGAAGCAGAACTTCTCTATTTGCATAGCAGAAAACGTTCGTGCTGGAAATAGAACTCTGAGTCTGAATGCGTGGCCATGTTTGTAAATTGCTGCACATACATGTACAATACTACAGTACCACATACCACAGCATACACAACGTTATGTATATATCACATACCACAGCATACACAATGTTTATGTATATCTCTTTTCATTATGGAAATTGGAATAACTTACTCATGCTAGAATAGACTTGCTTGTAGAGAGCAATACATGTCGGAACATCGCCTTCGTAATTGTACGCTGGATGACCAAACTCCTCCGCCATTCTGATTCCTCCCAAAGGAGTGGAATGTCTCTCAGCCAAACAATGGTAATACTTGACACTCACAGGTCTGTTCTTCTACTGCAATCACCGCTAGCGCTATGAATAGTATACCTGGTATACTGGTAGTACGTCAAGCACAAAGTCATGTACTCGTACTGTAATGATCCATAAGACTAGTAGTAAATTTGGAGGCCAACTTGTTTGAAGGAGAGAAAAACAAAACAAAACAAAAATATAAAGTAATGTTGTGTCAAAGTCAAATGACTGCATGACTGTGTACCGCGTACCGGTACATGTGGGGCAACGTCACAAGCTTGCAAGCAAGGCGGGTAAGGCTGCAACCACACTAGGTACAAAATCACGTACAAACGGCATTACAGTAGAAATCGTCATGCCGACGCGTGCGAAATGCAAAATGCACTTTGTAGCAACTGGCGCGCCCCTGTAGAAAGCCACGTTTGTCGTTTTCGTCGTTTTCGCGCTCCTTCTCCTGTGTACAACTTTGCTTTTGTACCGTCTCATCGTACATAGCATCAGCACCAGCATTGTTTTTGAATTAATAATTTATTTCCCGGTCTTTTCCAGCGCATGGCACACGCTTTGGTACGACAACGTCACGTGCTGGTCCCGTGAAAACGTCATCTATGCAGACCGAAAAGTGTAGTGTGGTTGCATACCGACTTGCACTGAGATATGCATGAAAATTTGTACTGTGGTTTTTACGTAGTGTGGTTGCGGCCTAATCATGGTAATCCCCTGCCCCAATATTTTCAATAAAAATAATTTCCGAGAGATAACTGTAGTATTGCATATTGCAATGTCAATGAGCATGAGATGGATTGGAGAAAAGAGACAGCCAGTTTTGCGTTGATAAATAGCTCAAGTAATATAACGTTCTAGCTAGCTGTTGGTTTATACTGACATGGACAACTGAAGTAGTATTTCAGTACACAGGCGTATCGTAACTACTGGTATGTGACCTGAAGTATTATGTCATTACTTGTTTTGCTACGTTCTAAAATGAGTTTGGCATGTCGTCAGAATAACCGATACTTGCAGAACATGTAACTATAAGAACGATGCCATGTAAATTGTTTCGTTAGTACCTATGGTACCTATAGTATAGGGTAAGATAATACTCTAGTTGCCCTTTTAATTTTAGCAAGACAGATTGTCATTTCCATCATAAGGACATGTATTATTCATTTTATCCCATGGTACGAAACGATTTGGGCCATTTCAGCCAATCAGCGACCGTTCTGAGCGGGGGAATATAGAGCGATATACCCCGCCGGGGTCAATAATATTCCCCGCTGGGATCACGAATATTCCCCGGGTCACGCCAATAAGGGAGATTTTAGTGCTGGTCGCGCTCTATTTGGGACAGTACATGGGATAAATGGATTATACCATTCGTACTCTGTGTATACCGTGTCCCTTATAATTTCCCTCGTGCTTACGCACTCGTGAAAATATTCGGCGGTATACCCCTCGTACTCATGGGATAATCCATATAATCAATTCAATAATAATTATTATCGAAAAAAGCATGGTACATGTACAGTGTAGATATAGAAGTATGCAGTTTTGCAACGTTTGAAACTGGGCGTCCTTGCATTGATTCTATGGAGTCATTGGCTTGAAAATAGGATAAGACCGCAGTGCCACAGTGACACCATGCTATATTTGCCATCTAAGTCATGTAAGTCATCTAAGTAGTTAATACGGAGGATTAGCAAGACGAAATTCGCGTTCGCACTCCAAGGAAAGTCGAACTCCGTGGCGGAATTCGCGTTATGAGAAGGATTAGCAAACAGAACTCGCACATGCATGACGTTGACACGACGTACATTGTGTACAGACAGTACAGCGTGGTAAATTTATGACTGCCCTGACACGAATCCGCGATTCGTGTTTCGACTACTTTTCCGAACGAAATATGCGAAAGTTCGCAATCCAGTTCGTGAACTGAAAAATGTTTGCGAACGCGAACGCGAATTTCGTCTTGCTAATCCTCCGTAATGTGTTCAGTTTCTTTCTTCTCATGCAATACCGGTAATACCCAACAGCCTGCACTGCCAAGAATATGTGACCAGAGGACAGAGGCATTCAATGTCTACAGTTGTGAGAGTGCACATACTGGAGCACATGTACGGTGAACCTTGCGAATAACTCCCTGCTCAGGACCATGCATGAGAAATGTCGTTATTTGTGAGCTGCGTTTGAAATTTTTTTTCTCTCGAACTGTCGTTATTCCGGAGGTTGTACATAGCGCTTTGTTTGAGCGCCATGATTAGCATGAATAGTGTGTGGTGTTAGGACCCGGTAGCGCCTGGTGATATTCTATTCACGGGGTTGAATTTCTGTAACCAGGACTTCGGATTTCAAACTGTATGTAGTACATGCAGGGATGAATTTATTCTGTATCGCATCGCAGTTTGCGATGCGAAATCGATCTACTGCTACTCAAAAGTCACCGTAACTTGCAGAAAACAGCGCTGTCTAGCAGCATGCATACAGTGCAATGTATGTGGTGCAGGCACTCTCAATCTGCGTGCGCATGTATGATTCAGTCGTTTTTTTGCAAATGGGTTTCACTTTTCAGGCATCACTCTCAAGAAGGACAATGTGGTAAATACCCAAACTTCAAAGAAAAATTCTAATCAAAATCAAAGACTTCTTTTTGTATAGCAGAAACTGCTATGCAAAAATGTGACAATAAATTCATCCCTGACATGTAGTACTATGTACACAAGGCTGTACAGTAGAGTCGCGCGCCGACAAACTTGGAGTCCAAGAACGTCCACCCTGAAATGCTAAGAGCGCCACAGCCTAAAGTTAAGAACGGCTGTGTTGGTTTTCTGGCAGCTTTTGGGATATACCGTAGAATCCCGCGGATAAGCCCACCCGCCCATGCTCGCGCATAAGCCCAGGGAAAGTTCAAACATCACAAGGCTTCGTCATACAAGCCCATGGGCCTAAGTCGTACCAAGAGTCCATAAATTATGGACTCTTGGTCGTACCATGTAAATGTAGCCTTGTAGGTAGTACAATGTCATGTAGGTTTTTTTGTACATTTCAACACAATCATTGGTTGTTTTTGTTTGCACAGTGGCTTTCAGCAATGTATTTCTCACTTCCTTGGTACTTTTCAATAGCACAATGTTGGTGTCAGCGTATAACTGTAAGCCCATGTCCGCGTATAAGCCCATGTTCTTGTATAAGCCCACCGAAATGTCCTTATGAAACAGATCAGCCCATGGGCTTATCCGCGGGATTCTACGGTATTATGATCCAGTACGAATTGTTTCTAAAAACGCAGCCAGATTGCCGAACAAATTAAGAACGCCCCCAAGCTAATCCCTTGGGAACAACGTTCTTAGACGCGCGACTCTACTGTACGGCACTACCCCCCCCCCCCCGTCAGCAGGGCAATGCGACAATCACAAGTAAGTTATGTGGACAACGGACCCTATAGAACTTCCAAGTCCAAGATTGCTTCTATGGTCTCGTGGAATCTTCCTAGATACTATCAGTCTGACTTCCTGGTGTACAGCATTTACACTACATACACTACAGTAGTTATTAACACTACATACACTACAGTACTCAGTAGTCGCGCACTGACTGTGAAGAACGTTGAGCCCAAGAACATCCAGCCTGGAATGCTAAGAACGCCACAGCCCAAAGTTCAGAATGGTGGTGTTCGTTTTCCAGCAGCTTTTGGGATAGATAATGACCCAGTACGGATTGTTTCTAAGAACGTGCTATAAGAACGCAGCCAGATTGCCCAAAAAAAATAAGAACACCCAGGCTAACCCCTTGGAAACAACGTTCTTGGACGCGTGACTCTACTGCCCCACATGTGTTCAAGCGTTACAGAATACGTAACACAAAATAATACATGGCAGAACATCATGAGCAGCACAGTCGATACTAGGAGTCGACACACTGTACCCCTTTCATGACGTGCCATGATCACAAGTATAACCTGCCATGCTGGTAACACGGCTACATTCCGTTGGCCAGTTTTGCATAACTATGGAATTATGCTATTGCAGTACACGGTCATCATGACTACATTGTAGTTGTTGAAGCAGCTGTGGTGCCAACCAATAACTACACAAAACAGCAGAGTTGCCTGCAGGACCCTGCTAAGGTCTGCAACTAAGACACAGGCAAGATGATGTACTAGTAAACGCCTGTCAGCAGAATTTTAAACATGCACAAACGCACCCCTCACCCGCAAGACACTACTCAGGTCTGCAACGGGACAGAGGCAAGAAGATGCGCAAGTCTGTCTAAACAAAGAATGTCTTTATTTGCACATTCAGCAGACACACATGCCCCCACCCCACACACGTCCCAAATCGAATGACGGTAGAATGCTCTACCTTTTCTGCCCCCCCCCCCCCCCTCCCCGTTTCAGACGTTTCATGCAGGGATAAGTAGGACCTTGCACACACATGGACAGTAATATAGCCGTCCGACAGCAACAGCAGTTGAGACAGCACACGGACCACACAGCAAACGAGAAGGATTGAGACAATGCGGACAAAATAGCAGCAACAACCACTTGCAGCAACAACCACTTGCAGCAACAACAGAAGGTTTTATTCAGACATATTATTCACTGAGACAAAAGCGGCGATGCCTTAGTGGTTCACTTCCATGTACATCTGCCAGCACACAGCAAAAGAAAAACACAATCACACGCATTAATTCAACGTAATCAGTATCCTTGCCGTGTCCTATCCTTGTATCATGGGTGTACGTGCATTTTGTGCATTTTGGTCACAGCCGTTAGAAAAGGCAGCATAGCTGTTCTAATTGGAGATGACGAGCATTTTCTCCTCATCATCTGAATTTCAGATTGCATGCAAACCATGCCTGCTGTACTGTTTTATGCCCAGCTATATGCCAGCACATGTATAATATTATTATTGATTACATGGATCACATCATTATCGTGCAGTATATCCATCCGACTTACCACCATTCTTTGAAGAGGAATCCAAAGCTCAACGTGTCTCTTCATCTGATCACGAATGTATGACGGCTTTTGTGCGCTTGCCTCCTGGTCCAACATCAAAAGCACATACTGCAGCGTCAGTAAAAGATTGAGACCTGTTTGAGACGATTAACGGATTACATCCAGGAACTAAACTCATCCCAGGCTGTGTTCAAGGTGTTGCATCCAACCTGCCAGTACAGGATGAACCCATAGCAAGTAACTAGTTATACAAGTACTAATACCTATGCACACTCACTGGCCAGGCATGCCGCCCTATCAACCCGGGTTGGACCCAAAATGGATTCATCGCCCAATGCGAAGCAGCACGCACCCCCCAAAATCACTGGGGGTGGAGTCCCAAGGTTGTCTCCTCATAGTAAAACATATCAGAGCCTCGCACTTCCCTTGAAGGAGTGAGATCGAATCAAAACCGACTCATTCTTCACTGCCAAGTAACACACATCCCGAATTACCGAGCATGGAGATACAAGGCTGCCCCAGCATAGTCAAACATATCAGAGCCTCACACTTCCCTTGAGGGAGTGAGGTTGTATGCAGGACCGATTCGTTGTTCAATGCAAAGCAACCCACATCCTGGATGGAGTTACAAGGCTGTCCCCACATAGTCAAACATATCAGAGCCTCACACTTCCCTTAAAGGAGTGAGGTCGTACGCAAATCGCATTCGTCGCTCAATGACAAGCAAAACAAACACATACCCCAAATCATTGGGTATGTGGTCCAAAATTTGGCTTCTCATAGCCAAACATATCAGAGCTTCACACTTCCCTTGAAGGAGTGAGGTTGTATGCAAGACCAAAGCATCGTTCAATGCCAAGGAACACGCATCCCGAATCACCGGGCATGGAGTCACAAGGCTGTCACCACACAGTCAAACATATCAGAGCCTCACACTTCCCTTGTAGGAGTAAGGTTGTACGCAGATTGGATTCATCACTCAATGCCCAGCAACACACACACACACACCAAATCACTGGGTATGGCGTCCAAAGTTTGGCTCCTCATCACCAAAAATATCAGAGTCACACTTCCCTTGAAGGAGTGAGGTTGTATTCAAAGTGACTCATAGTTCAACCCCAAGCAACACACGTCCCGAATCACCGGGCATGGAGATACAAGGCTGCCCTCACATAGTCAAACATATCAGAGCCGCACACCTCCCTTGAAGGACCGAGGTTGTGTGCAGGACCGACTCGTTGTTCAATGCCAAGCAACCCACATCCCAGATGGAGTTACAATGCTGTCCCCACATACTCAAACATACCAGAGCGTCGGACTTCCCTTGAAGGAGTAAGGTTGTATGCAAGACTAACTCATCGTTCAATGCAAACTGAGGAGGATACGTCCCGATTCATCGCTCAATCCCAAGCAACACTTATGTCCTTATAGTCAAACATATCAGATCCTCAGACTTCCCTTGAAGGAGTGAGGTATTATCCAATCCGAATCATTGTTCATTGCCAAGCAACACACGCCCCGAATCACCGGGCATGGAGTTACAAGGCTATCCCGCATAGTCAAACATATCAGAGCCTCAGACGTCCCTTGAAGGAGTGAGGTATTATCCAATCCGAATCATTGTTCATTGCCAAGCAACACACGCCCCGAATCACCGGGCATGGAGTTACAAGGCTATCCCCGCATAGTCAAACATATCAGAGCCTCACACTTCCCTTGGAGGAGTGTGGTTGTATACAGGCCTGACTCATCGTTCAATGCCAAGGAACACAAGTCCCGAATCACCGGGCATGGGGTTGCAAGGCTACCCAGGGCTGCGGAACCCTGAAAACAACCTATCCTCAAGTTTGGGGCTTTTTGCCTGTGTATCCCGACTTGGAACTCAAGCCAGTTTTAGCAGGCTCAAATTCCCTGGGACACTGCCTACGAGTGCAAGCCGCCTACTAGCAAACCAAAAATCTAAGCAATTACTGCACCCACTTTGCAGCTTGGCCCATTTACCCACAGGTACATTGAAGAGAACAGATGCGCACAAATGGTCAAAAATTCACCATTTCTCACCTTTCTGACTATTCACAGCTGCAACATGGACAGTGACCACCCTGACTTCCTGCGATAGGCACACAAAGGGTAGTGCACAACAGAAATGACACACATTGTCATAAACGACCTGCCCAGTGCTGCTTATCCCTGAAAACAACCAATCTCGAAGTTTGGGGCGTTTTGCCCGTGCATCCGGACTTGGAACTCAAGCCAGTTACAGCAGGCTCCAATATCCTAGGGCACTGCCTACGAGTGCAAGCGGCCTACAAGCAAACCTAAAATCTAAGCAATTTCTGCATCCACATTGCAGTTGGTCACATTTACCCACAGGTACATTGAAGAGAACCGATGCGCACAAATGGTCAAAATTCACCATTTCTTACCTTTCCGACTAGTCACAGCTGAAACATGGACAGTGACCACCCTGCATTCCTGCGATAGACACACAAAGTGTATTGCACAACATAAATTATACACATTGTCATAAACGACCTGCCCAGGGCGGCTGAACCCTGAAATAACCTATCCCCAAGTTTAGGGCTTTTTGCGCGTGCATCCGGACTTGGAACTCAAGCCAGTTATAGCAGGGTCAAATTTCCTATGGCACTGCCTACGAGTGCAAGCGGCCTACTAGCAAACCAAAAATCTAAGCAAATCCTGCGCCTACTTTGCAGCTGGGCCCATTTACCCACAGGTACATTGAAGAGAACCGATGCTCACAAATGGTCAAAAATTCCCCATTTCTCACCTTTCCGACTATTCACAGCTGCAACATGGACAGTGACCACCCTGAATTCCTGCGATAGGCACACAAAGGGTAGTGTACAACAGAAATTATACACATTGTCATAAACGACCTGCCCAGGGCTGCTGAACCCTGAAAATAACCTATCCCCAATTTTGGGGCTTTTGCTCGTGCATCCGGACTTGGAACTCAAGCCAGTTTTAGCAGGCTCAAATTTCCTGCGGCACTGCCTACGAGTGCAAGCGGCCTACTAGCAAACCAAAAATCTAAGCAATTCCCGCATCCACATTGCAGCTGGGCCCATTTACCCACAGGTACATTGAGGAGAACAGATGCGCACAAATGGTCAAAATTCACCATTTCTCACCTTTCCGACTAGTCACAGCTGCAACATGGACAGGGACCACCCTGAATTCCTGCGATAGGCATACATAGGGTATTGCACAACATAAATTATACACATTGTCATAAACGACCTGCCCAGGGCGGCTGAACCCTGAAATAACCTATCCCCAAGTTTAGGGCTTTTTGCCCGTGCATCCTGACTTGGAACTCAAGCCAGTTATAGCAGGGTCAAATTTCCTGTGGCACTGCCTACGAGTGCAAGCGGCCTACAAGCAAACCTAAAATCTAAGCAATTTCTGCATCCACATTGCAGTTGGTCACATTTACCCACAGGTACATTGAAGAGAACCGATGCTCACAAATGGTGAAAAATTCAACATTTCTCACCTTTCCGACTAGTCACAGCTGCAACATGGACAGTGACCACCCTGAATTCCTGCGATAGGCACACAAAGGGTAGTGCACAACAGAAATTACAAACATTGTCATAAACGACCTGCCCAGGGCTGCTTAACCCTCAAAATAACCTATCACCAAGTTTGGGGCTTTTTGCCCGTGCATCTGGACTTGGAACTCAAGCCAGTCACAGCAGGGTCAAATTTCCTGGGGCATTGCCTACGAGTGCAAGCGGCCTACTAGCAAACCAAAGATCTAAGCAATTTCTGCATCCACATTCCAGCTGGGCCCATTTACCCACAGGTACATTGAAGAGAACATATGCGCACAAATGGTCGAAAATACACCATTTCTCACCTTTCCGTCTATTCACAGCTGCAACATGGACAGGGACCACCCTGACTTCCTGCGACAGGCACACAAAGGGTAGTGCACAACAGAAATGATACACATTGTCAAAAACGACCTGCCCACGGCTGCAGAACCCTGAAAATAACCTATCAACAAGTTTGGGGCTTTTTGCCCGTACATCCGGACTTGGAACTCAAGCCAGTTACAGCAGGCTCAAATTTCCTGGGGCATTGCCTACGAGTGCAAGCGGCCTACTAGCAAACCAAAAATCTAAGCAATTTCTGCATCCACATTGCAGCTGGGCCCATTTACCCACAGGTACATTGAGGAGAACAATTTGTGCCTGTCGTATCATACAGAAAGTGGTGGACATCACGCAACTGTCGTATCATACAGAGTATATGAGCAACTATCGGATGGCCGGACCACCTATCAAAAATTACTACCGTAAAATCCCACCAGAGTCACTCCATGCGCCCCGTCTCTCCCATGCGACCCTCCCTGACTTCTTGCCTGGGAAGTGATTGTATTCTTGTGTGACTCTGTGATGCCATACTGTACTGCAGACGCGTGCTCGGCCTGGTTGAACATGTGTGCAACAGTGCCCACCCTCTTGACCAGGGATCGCACAAACCCTGAGTTTTGATGGGTCTGGACGACTCCTGGCTCTTGACCATTGGTCGATGTACAAGATGCACGAACAGTGTTCGTAGGGTGAACACATTATCATGTAGTACTGCATGCAGTAAGTAGGACTCGCCCATCCGCCCCTCCCCACCTGGACCTACCTACTCGAAGGGTGGCGGAGGTAGGGGCGCTCTGGCGGGATTTAACGGTATTTCCACTGCCTTAGTAACCGAATCAGACCGTTGCGCTCTGTTTGACCAGTCCCGATATGATTGAAATTACAAATACATGTAACGTGGTACTCTGATCACCGCTAAATGTACAGCGCTACTCTGATCACCGCTAAATGCACCCCGCTACTCTGATCACCGCTAAATGCACTGCGCTACTCTGATCACCGCTAAAGGCACGGCGCTATTCTGATCACCGCTTAATGCACCGCGCTACTCTGATCACCGCTAAATGCACAGCGCTACTCTGATCACTGCTAAATGCACTGCGCTACTCTGATCACCGCTAAATGCACTGCGCTACTCTGATCACCGCCAAATGCACCATGCTACTCTGATCACCGCTAAATGCACCGCGCACTCTGATCACCGCTAAATGCACCGCGCTACTCTGATCACCGCTAAATGCACCGCGCTACTCTGATCACCGCTAAATGCACAGCGCTACTCTGATCACCGCTTAATGCACCGCGCTACTCTGATCACCGCTAAATGCAAAGCGCTACTCTGATCACCGCTAAATGCACAGCGCTACTCTGATCACCGCTAAATGCACGGCGCTACTCTGATCACCGCTAAATGCACCGCGCTACTCTGATCACCGCTAAATGCACAGCGCTACTCTGATCACTGCTAAATGCACTGCGCTACTCTGATCACGGCTAAATGCACTGCGCTACTCTGATCACCGCCAAATGCACCATGCTACTCTGATCACCGCTAAATGCACCGCGCACTCTGATCACCGCTAAATGCACCGCGCTACTCTGATCACCGCTAAATGCACCGCGCTACTCTGATCACCGCTAAATGCACAGCGCTACTCTGATCACCGCTTAATGCACCGCGCTACTCTGATCACCGCTAAATGCACCGCGCTACTCTGATCACCGCTAAATGCACAGCGCTCCTCTGATCACCGCTAAATGCACAGCGCTACTCTGATCACCGCTAAATGCACCGCGCTACTCTGATCACCGCTAAATGCACAGCGCTACTCTGATCACTGCTAAATGCACTGCGCTACTCTGATCACCGCTAAATGCACTGCGCTACTCTGATCACCGCCAAATGCACCATGCTACTCTGATCACCGCTAAATGCACCGCGCACTCTGATCACCGCTAAATGCACCGCGCTACTCTGATCACCGCTAAATGCACCGCGCTACTCTGATCACCGCTAAATGCACAGCGCTACTCTGATAACCGCTAAATGCACAGCACTACTCTGATCACCGCTAAATGCACTGCGCTACTCTGATCACCGCTCAATGCACAGCCCTACTCTGATCACCGCTAAATGCACTGCGCTACACTGATCACCGCTAAATGCACTGCACTACTCTGATCACCGCTAAATGCACCGCGCTACTCGATCACCGCTAAATGCACTGCGCTACTCTGATCACCGCTAAATGCCCCGCGCTACTCGATCACCGCTAAATGCACTGCGCTACTCTGATCACCGCTAAATGCACTGCGCTACTCTGATCACCGCTAAATGCACCGCGCTACTCTGATCACCGCTAAATGCACTGCACTACTCTGACCACCGCTAAATGCACTGCGCCACTCTGATCACCGCTAAATGCAACGCGCTACTCTGCTTACCGCTAAATGCACTGCGCTACTCTGATCACCGCTAAATGCACTGCGCTACTCTGATCACCGATAAATGCACAGCGCTACTCTGATCACCGCTAAATGCACTGCGCTACTCTGATCACCGCTAAATGCACAGTGCTACTCTGATCGCCGCTAAATGCACTGCGCTACTCTGATCACCGCTAAATGCACAGCGCTACTCTGATCACCGCTAAATGCACTGCACTACTCTTATAACCGCTAAATGCACTGCGCTACTCTGATCACCGCTAAATGCACCGCGCTACTCTGATCACCGCTAAATGCACCGCGCTACTCTGATCACCGCTAAATGCACCGCGCTACTCTGATCACCGCTAAATGCACTGCGCTACTCTGATCACCGCTAAATGCACTGCACTACTCTGATCACCGCTAAATGCACTGCACTACTCTGATCACCGCTAAATGCACAGCTCTACTCTGATCACCGCTAAATGCACAGTGCTACTCTGATCACCGCTAAATACACCGCGCTACTCTGATCACCGCTAAATGCACCGCGCTACTCTGATCACCGCTAAATGCAAAGCGCTACTCTGATCACCGCTAAATGCACAGCGCTACTCTGATCACCGCTAAATGCACTGCGCTACTCTGATCACCGCTTAATGCACCGAGCTACTTTGATCACCGCTAAATGCACCGCGCTACTTTGATCACCGCTAAATGCACAGCGCTACTCTGATCACCGCTAAATGCACTGCGCTACTCTGATCACCGCTAAATGCACCGCGCTACTCTGATCACCGCTAAATGCACTGCGCTACTCTGATCACCGCTAAATGCACTGAGCTACTCTGATCACCACTAAATGCACCGCGCTACTCTGATCACCGCTAAATGCACAGCGCTACTCTGATCACCGCTAAATGCACTGCGCTACTCTGATCACCGCTAAATGCACTGCGCTACTCTGATCACCGCTTAATGCACCGCGCTACTCTGATCACTGCTAAATGCACAGCGCTACTCTGATCACCGCTAAAGGCACGGCGCTATTCTGATCACCGCTTAATGCACCGCGCTACTCTGATCACCGCTAAATGCACAGCGCTACTCTGATCACTGCTAAATGCACTGCGCTACTCTGATCACCGCTAAATGCACTGCGCTACTCTGATCACCGCCAAATGCACCATGCTACTCTGATCACCGCTAAATGCACCGCGCACTCTGATCACCGCTAAATGCACCGCGCTACTCTGATCACCGCTAAATGCACCGCGCTACTCTGATCACCGCTAAATGCACAGCGCTACTCTGATCACCGCTTAATGCACCGCGCTACTCTGATCACCGCTAAATGCAAAGCGCTACTCTGATCACCGCTAAATGCACAGCGCTACTCTGATCACCGCTAAATGCACGGCGCTACTCTGATCACCGCTAAATGCACCGCGCTACTCTGATCACCGCTAAATGCACAGCGCTACTCTGATCACTGCTAAATGCACTGCGCTACTCTGATCACCGCTAAATGCACTGCGCTACTCTGATCACCGCCAAATGCACCATGCTACTCTGATCACCGCTAAATGCACCGCGCACTCTGATCACCGCTAAATGCACCGCGCTACTCTGATCACCGCTAAATGCACCGCGCTACTCTGATCACCGCTAAATGCACAGCGCTACTCTGATCACCGCTTAATGCACCGCGCTACTCTGATCACCGCTAAATGCATCGCGCTACTCTGATCACCGCTAAATGCACAGCGCTCCTCTGATCACCGCTAAATGCACAGCGCTACTCTGATCACCGCTAAATGCACCGCGCTACTCTGATCACCGCTAAATGCACAGCGCTACTCTGATCACTGCTAAATGCACTGCGCTACTCTGATCACCGCTAAATGCACTGCGCTACTCTGATCACCGCCAAATGCACCATGCTACTCTGATCACCGCTAAATGCACCGCGCACTCTGATCACCGCTAAATGCACCGCGCTACTCTGATCACCACTAAATGCACCGCGCTACTCTGATTACCGCTAAATGCACCGCGCTACTCTGATCACCGCTAAATGCACCGCGCTACTCTGATCACCGCTATATGCACAGCGCTACTCTGATCACTGCTAAATGCACTGCGCTACTCTGATCACCGCTAAATGCACTGCGCTACTCTGATCACCGCCAAATGCACCATGCTACTCTGATCACCGCTAAATGCACCGCGCTACTCTGATCACCGCTAAATGCACAGCGCTACTCTGATCACCGCTAAATGCACTGCGCTACTCTGATCACCGCTAAATGCACTGCGCTACTCTGATCACCGGCAAATGCACAGCGCTACTCTGATCACTGCTAAATGCACTGCGCTACTCTGATCACCGCTAAATGCACTGCGCTACTCTGATCACCGCTAAATGCACCATGCTACTCTGATCACCGCTAAATGCACCGCGCACTCTGATCACCGCTAAATGCACCGCGCTACTCTGATCACCGCTAAATGCACCGCGCTACTCTGATCACCGCTAAATGCACAGCGCTACTCTGATCACCGCTTAATGCACCGCGCTACTCTGATCACCGCTAAATGCACCGCGCTACTCTGATCACCGCTAAATGCACAGCGCTACTCTGATCACCGCTAAATGCACGGCGCTACTCTGATCACCGCTAAATGCACCGCGCTACTCTGATCACCGCTAAATGCACAGCGCTACTCTGATCACCGCTAAATGCACTGCGCTACTCTGATCACCGCTAAATGCACTGCGCTACTCTGATCACCGCCAAATGCACCATGCTACTCTGATCACCGCTAAATGCATCGCGCACTCTGATCACCGCTAAATGCACCGCGCTACTCTGATCACCGCTAAATGCACCGGGCTACTCTGATCACCGCTAAATGCACAGCGCTACTCTGATCACCGCTTAATGCACCGCGCTACTCTGATCACCGCTAAATGCACCGCGCTACTCTGATCACCGCTCAATGCACAGCCCTACTCTGATCACCGCTAAATGCACTGCGCTACTCTGATCACCGCTAAATGCACGGCGCTACTCTGATCACCGCTAAATGCACCGCGCTACTCTGATCACCGCTAAATGCACAGCGCTACTCTGATCACTGCTAAATGCACTGCGCTACTCTGATCACCGCTAAATGCACTGCGCTACTCTGATCACCGCCAAATGCACCATGCTACTCTGATCACCGCTAAATGCACCGCACACTCTGATCACCGCTAAATGCACCGCGCTACTCTGATCACCGCTAAATGCACCGCGCTACTCTGATTACCGCTAAATGCACCGCGCTACTCTGATCACCGCTAAATGCACCGCGCTACTCTGATCACCGCTATATGCACAGCGCTACTCTGATCACTGCTAAATGCACTGCGCTACTCTGATCACCGCTAAATGCACTGCGCTACTCTGATCACCGCCAAATGCACCATGCTACTCTGATCACCGCTAAATGCACCGCGCTACTCTGATCACCGCTAAATGCACAGCGCTACTCTGATCACCGCTAAATGCACTGCGCTACTCTGATCACCGCTAAATGCACAGCCCTACTCTGATCACCGCTAAATGCACTCTGATCACCGCTAAATGCACTGCGCTACTCTGATCACCGTTAAAGGCACGGCGCTATTCTGATCACCGCTTAATGCACCGCGCTACTCTGATCACCGCTAAATGCACAGCGCTACTCTGATCACTGCTAAATGCACTGCGCTACTCTGATCACCGCTAAATGCACTGCGCTACTCTGATCACCGCCAAATGCACCATGCTACTCTGATCACCGCTAAATGCACCGCGCACTCTGATCACCGCTAAATGCACCGCGCTACTCTGATCACCGCTAAATGCACAGCGCTACTCTGATCACCGCTTAATGCACCGCGCTACTCTGATCACCGCTAAATGCACCGCGCTACTCTGATCACCGCTAAATGCACAGCGCTACTCTGATCACCGCTAAATGCACGGCGCTACTCTGATCACCGCTAAATGCACCGCGCTACTCTGATCACCGCTAAATGCACAGCGCTACTCTGATCACTGCTAAATGCACTGCGCTACTCTGATCACCGCTAAATGCACTGCGCTACTCTGATCACCGCCAAATGCACCATGCTACTCTGATCACCGCTAAATGCATCGCGCACTCTGATCACCGCTAAATGCACCGCGCTACTCTGATCACCGCTAAATGCACCGCGCTACTCTGATCACCGCTAAATGCACAGCGCTACTCTGATCACCGCTTAATGCACCGCGCTACTCTGATCACCGCTAAATGCACCGCGCTACTCTGATCACCGCTAAATGCACAGCGCTCCTCTGATCACCGCTAAATGCACGGCGCTACTCTGATCACCGCTAAATGCACCGCGCTACTCTGATCACCGCTAAATGCACAGCGCTACTCTGATCACTGCTAAATGCACTGCGCTACTCTGATCACCGCTAAATGCACTGCGCTACTCTGATCACCGCCAAATGCACCATGCTACTCTGATCACCGCTAAATGCACCGCGCACTCTGATCACCGCTAAATGCACCGCGCTACTCTGATCACCGCTAAATGCACCGCGCTACTCTGATTACCGCTAAATGCACCGCGCTACTCTGATCACCGCTAAATGCACCGCGCTACTCTGATCACCGCTAAATGCACTGCGCTACTCTGATCACCGCCAAATGCACCATGCTACTCTGATCACCGCTAAATGCACCGCGCTACTCTGATCACCGCTAAATGCACCGAGCTACTCTGATTACCGCTAAATGCACCGCGCACTCTGATCACCGCTAAATGCACCGCGCTACTCTGATCACCGCTAAATGCACAGCGCTACTCTGATCACCGCTAAATGCACCGCGCTACTCTGATCACCGCTAAATGCACCGCGCTACTCTGATCACCGCTAAATGCACCGCGCTACTCTGATTCCCGCTAAATGCACCGCGCTACTCTGATCACCGCTAAATGCACAGCGCTACTCTGATCACTGCTAAATGCACTGCGCTACTCTGATCACCGCCAAATGCACCATGCTACTCTGATCACCGCTAAATGCACCGCGCTACTCTGATCACCGCTAAATGCACCGAGCTACTCTGATTACCGCTAAATGCACCGCGCACTCTGATCACCGCTAAATGCACCGCGCTACTCTGATCACCGCTAAATGCACAGCGCTACTCTGATCACCGCTAAATGCACAGCGCTACTCTGATCACCGCTAAATGCACCGCGCTACTCTGATCACCGCTAAATGCACCGCGCTACTCTGATTCCCGCTAAATGCACCGCGCTACTCTGATCACCGCTAAATGCACCGCGCTACTCTGATCACCGCTAATGCACTACGCTACTCTGATCACCGCTAAATGCACCGCGCTACTCTGATCACTGCTAAATGCACCGCGCTACTCTGATCACCGGCAAATGCACAGCGCTACTCTGATCACCGCTAAATGCACCGCGCTACTCTGATCACCGCTAAATGCACAGCGCTACTCTGATCACCGCTAAATGCACCGCCCTACTCTGATCACCGCTAAATGCACCGCGCTACTCTGATCACCGCTAAATGCACCGCGCTACTCTGATCACCGCTAAATGCACCGCACTACTCTGATCACCGCTAAATGCACCGCGCTACTCTGATCACCGCTAAATGCACAGCGCTACTCTGATCACCGCTAAATGCACCGCGCTACTCTGATCACCGCTAAATGCACCGCGCTACTCTGATCACCGCGCTCCTCTGATCACCGCTAAATGCACCGCGCTACTCTGATCACCGCTAAATGCACCGCGCTACTCTGATCGCCGCTAAATGCACCACGGTACTCTGATCACCGCTAAATGCACCACGCTACTCTGATCACCGCTAAATGCACCGCGCTACTCTGATCACCGCTAAATGCACAATTTCTGCATCCACATTACAGTTGGACCCATTAACCCACAGGGACATTGAAGAGAACAGGTGCGCACAAATGGTCAAAATTCACCATTTCTCACCTTTCCGACTAGTCACAGCTGCAACATGGACAGTGATTACCCTGAATTCCTGCAATAGGCACACAAGGGGTAGTGCGCAACAGAAATGACACACATTGTCATAAACGACCTGCCCAGGGCGGCGGAACCCTGAAAATAACCTACTCCCTTGTTTGGGGCTTTTTGCCCGTACATCCGGACTTGGAACTCAAGCCAGTTACAGCAGGGTCAAATTTCCTGGGGCACTGCCTACGAGTGCAAACGGCCTACAAGCAAACCAAAAATCTAAGCAATTCCTGCACCCACTTTGCACCTGGGCCCATTTACCCACAGGTGCATTGAAAAGAACAGATGCGCACAAATGGTCAAAAATTCGCCATTTCTCACCTTTCCGACTAGTCACTTCTGCAACATTGACAGGGACCACCCTGACTTCCTGCGACAGGCACACAAAGGGTAGTGCACAACAGAAATTATACACATTGTCAAAAACGACCTGCCCACGGCAGCTGAACTCTGAAAATAACCTCCTCCCAAGTTTGGGGCTTTTTGCCCGTGCATCCAGACTTGGAACTCAAGCCAGTTACAGCAGGCTCAAATTTCCTGGGGCACTGCCTACGAGTGCAAGCGGCCTACAAGCAAACCTAAAATCTAAGCAATTTCTGCATCCACATTACAGTTGGGCACATTTACCCACAGGTACATTGAAGAGAACAGATGCGCACAAATGGTCAAAATTCACCATTTCTCACCTTTCCGACTAGTCACAGCTGCAACATGGACAGGGACCACCCTGAATTCCTGCGATAGGCATACATAGGGTAGTGCACAACAGAAATTACACACATTGTCATAAACGACCTGCCCAGGGCTGATGAACCCTGAAAATAACCTATCACCAAGTTTTAGGCTTTTTGCCCGTGCATCCCGACTTGGAACTCAAGCCAGTCACAGCAGGGTCAAATTTCCTGGGGCACTGCCTACGAGTGCAAGCGGCCTACTAGTAAACCAAAAATCTAAGCAATTCCTGGACCCACTTTGCAGCTGGGCCTATTTACTCACAGGTACATTGAAGAGAACAGATGCGCACAAATGGTCAAAAATTCACCATTTCTCACCTTTCCGACTAGTCACAGCTGCAACATGGACAGTGACCACCCTGAATTCCTGCGATAGGCATACATAGGGTAGTGCACAACAGAAATGATACACATTGTCATAAACGACCTGCCCAGGGCGGCTGAACTCTGAAAATTACCTACTCCCAAGTTTGGGGCTTTTTGCCCGTGCATCCGGACTTGGAACTCAAGCCAATTACAGCAGGCTCAAATTTCCTGGGGCATTGCCTGCGAGTGCAAGCGGCCTACTAGCAAACCAAAAATCTAAGCAATTTCTGCATCCACATTGCAGCTGGGCCCATTTACCCACAGGTACATTGAAGAGAACAGATGCACAAATGGTCAAAAATCATGACACCCATTTCTCACCTTTCCGACTATTCACAGCTGCAACATGGACAGTGACCACCCTGAATTCCTGCGATAGGCACACAAAAAGGTAGTGCACAACAGAAATTACACACATTGTCATAAACGACCTGCCCAGGGCGGCTGAACTCTGAAAATAACCTACCCCACACGTTTGGGGCTTTTTGCCCGTGCATCCGGACTTGGAACTCAAGCCAGTTACAGCAGGGTCAAATTTCCTTGGGCATTACCTACGAGTGCAAGCGGCCTACTAGCAAACCAAAAATCTAAGCAATTTCTGCATCCACATTGCAGCTGGGCCCATTTACCCACAGGTACATTGAAGAGAACAGATGCGCACAAATGGTCAAAAATCATCACACCCATTTCTCACCTTTCCGACTATTCACAGCTGCAACATGGACAGTGACCACCCTGAATTCCTGCGATAGGCACACAAAAGGGTAGTGCACAACAGAAATTACACACATTGTCATAAACGACCTGCCGGGCCAGGGCTGCTGAACCCTGAAAATAACCTATCACCAAGTTTTAGGCTTTTTGCCCGTGCATCCGGACTTGGAACTCAAGCCAGTTATAGCAGGGTCAAATTTCCTGGGGCACTGCTTACGAGTGCAAGCGGCCTACAAGCAAACCTAAAATCTATGCAATTTCTGCATCCACATTGCAGTTGGGCACATTTACCCACAGGTAAATTGAAGAGAACAGATGCTCACAAATGGTCAAAAATTCACCATTTCTCACCTTTCCGACTAGTCACAGCTGCAACATGGACAGTTACCACCCTGTATTCCTGCGATATGCATACATAGGATAGTGCACAACAGAAATTACACACATTGTCATAAACGACCTGCCCAGGGCGGCTGAACTCTGAAAATTACCTATCCCCAAGTTTGGGACTTTTGCCCGTGCATCAGGACTTGGAACTCAAGCCAGTCACAGCACGGTCAAATTTCCTGGGGCACTGCCTACGAGTGCAAGCGGCCTACTAGTAAATCAAAAATCTAAGCAATTCCTGCACCCACTTTGCAGCTGGGCCTATTTACTCACAGGTACATTGAAGAGAACAGATGCGCACAAATGGTCAAAAATTCACCATTTCTCACCTTTCCGACTAGTCACAGCTGCAACATGGACAGTGACCACCCTGACTTCCTGCGACAGGCACACAAAGGGTAGTGCACAACAGAAATTACACACATTGTCATAAACGACCTGCCCAGGGCGGCTGAACTCTGAAAATAACCTACCCCACGTTTGGGGCTTTTCGCCCGTGCATCCGGACTTGGAACTCAAGCCAGTTATAGCAGGGTCAAATTTCCTGGGGCACTGCCTACGAGTGCAAGCGGCCTACTAGTAAACCAAAAATCTAAGCAATTCCTGGACCCACTTTGCAGCTGGGCCTATTTACTCACAGGTACATTGAAGAGAACAGATGCGCACAAATGGTCAAAAATTCACCATTTCTCACCTTTCCGACTAGTCACAGCTGCAACATGAACAGTGACCACCCTGAATTCCTGCGATAGGCACACAAAGGGCAGTGCACAACAGAAATGACACACATATTGTCATAAACGACCTGCCCAGGGCTGCTGAACCCTGAACATAGCATATCTCCAAGCTTGGGGCTTTTTGCCTGTGCATCCGGACTTGGAACTCAAGCCAATTACAGCAGGGTTAAATTTCCTCGGGCATTACCTGCGAGTGCAAGCGACCTACTAGCAAGCCAAAAGCAAGCCTAGTTTCCCACAGTTTCATTGAAAATATAACGTGCGCACAATTGGTCCAACTTCACCATTTCTCACAATTTTGCAATAGGCACACAAAGAGTAGTTGGTAAAGTGAAAGTCAATTATCGTGTCCGTCCCCGAAGGGAACTCACAACAGCCGCAAACATCCAGTGAACCCTAGCGACAGATGCAGCGCCTAACGGTGAGGGTGAGTAGATAGGTCTCACAACCAGTGGCACAAGTTCCGAGAAACCCTATTAGCTCTATCCACGTACCCCTTGCACCTCGCTTGAAGTTCCCAGTTGATCGTGAATAGCAGCACCCCTGAAAAAACCACTCCCATTCAAGACTTGAAGCAGGTACCGCTCGTATCTCAATCAAGGTCTTTGACCAACCCACTGTGCCTGCCTGATGCACAAAGGGTAGTGCAGCACGGAAATGACACACATTGCCGTAAACGCGTTCCCCAGGGCAGCAGGGTCGGGCGATTTGGCACCTCTGTAAACAAATTTGAGTCCGGCTTGCGAAGCAAGAGTACGACTAGCAGAGTACCACTAGCAAGAGTACCACTAGCATTTATAGGATGTACAGAACTCTGGAACAATCTCCCACACGCCCCGTGCTAAGGTGCTTCAAAAGTGGTGGGGCGATCCGGCAGGACCTCACGGTACATGTGTGCCCACATTATTAACTACAGGTACTTAGTAATGTCTACAAATTTTTGGCCCATTCAAATTTCAGCCCCTCAGGGCTAAAACCCATTTCGGTCGCATCAAATTTTCGGCCTGTGCTGCTGTCGCCTGTATACACTGTCACACTGAACCTTGCAAAACAAAATTTCGGCCGCAACAAATTTTCGGCCAAACCTGACCAGGCCGAAAATAACTGAAAATAAATACCGTACCGGGTATGCGCCGAATATTTGTTGACTTTCAGTCAAGCCTCATTAGGACGAACACTGATAAGAACACTGATAAGAACACTGATAAGGCGGAGTTTCCATTAGTACGAACTAGGGCCAATCCTATGGTTGGCCAGGCATCAATTCAAGTCAAAATTATTCGTTTACGACAGACTTCTGTACAGCGAACGTTCGCGAAGACGAACTAATTTCAAGTGTGATTTGAACAAAATCAGTGCGGTCATGTACATGTAGTACGAACTTTCGGTCCACGAGCGTGCACGCGGGCTGGCTGCCTTTTTTCTTCTTTTTTTTCAATAGTCTAGGCCATATTGTACGTACAGTGCAAATTGTTTTCAAGCGTGTTTTGAAAAAAATCAGCACGTTGTACGAACTTTCGGCAGTCGTGATTCATTGCACATTGTCATTGTACTTACCTGCTTCTGGCTTATGCTAAGAATAAAACGCTTCCCATGTACGCAGCATGCACCTTCACCTAAATACAATCCATATGATATGCATATGATTATCGATTTTTGTCAGATCTGGATGAGAAGAACTCGCAATACTTGAAGACAAACAAACTGTTCAGTCCGTTGAAGTTTGTCCAAACGAGGTTCGACTGTACGGTAGTATGGTGTGTGTCATGCTTCCTTTCCTTCTCAGAAGGCTACACACTACTTTGAGGCATGACATAACTGGACAGATCAAAAAATGATAGACACACTCCCAAGCCATAAATTTTGCTTTAATACTCTAATCCCCTTGTAAGTGAATCTAGATTATTTCTACACATACATCAGATCACAGCACAACCCCCCCCCCCCCCCCCCCCCCCGCTAGCCAAATGCAAGGAACATGACACATTCTCGTCACTCTAAGTTGCTCCAAATCGGAAGTTAATTCTCAGCCGATTCCCCAAATCTATCTGACTGCATATATCTATACAAGACAGTGACTAATACTTGCACCGTGTTCAGCCTAGCTATTTGTATTCTATTGTATTTTATTATTTTACTTGGGCATTCCCAACAGACCCTAAGGTCTTCTTACAGGGTGCCCAAGACGAATGAATTTGTTAAGTTCCTGGCGAAATGAATTGGGGATATGATGTGTGCGAAGGGGTGCGGGAAGCGCATTAAAGCGGTCAGCACCAAGGAATGAAATACATTTGTAGGTAAGGCAAACTATCTCGTACTTGGTTTCGAGACAATCAAGACTGGCTCTGCAACTAGCCTGGTTGGTCAGGATAACATGGTTGCACCACCTTTTGGTTTACCTAGGTGATTATTTAGAGTTGAGTCAGTACTACTAATTTGTGCCTGTCGTATCATACAGAAAGTGGTGGACATCACACAATTGTCGTATCATACAGAGTATATGAGCAACTATAGTATGGCCGGACCACCTATCAAAAATTACTACCGTAAAATCTCACCAGAGTCTCTCCATGCGCCCCATCTCTCCCATGCGACCCTTGCTGACTTCTTGCCTGGGAAGTGATTGATTGTATCCTTGTATGACTCTGTGATGCCGTACTGTACTGCAGACGCGTGCTCGACCCGTTAGGAAATGTATGCAACAGTGCCCACCCTCACGACCAGGGATCGCACAAACCCTGAGTTTTGATGGGTCTGGACGACTCCTGGCTCTTGACCATTGGTCGGTGTACAAGATGCTCGAAAAGTGTTCGTAGGGTGAACACTTTATCATGTAGTACTGCATGCGGTAGGTAGGACTCGCCCATCCGCCCCTCCCCACCTGGACCTACTCGAAGGGTGGCGGAGGTAGGGGCGCTCTGGCGGGATTTCACGGTATTTCCACTGGCTTAGTAACCGAATAAGACCGTTGCGCTCTGTTTGACCAGTCCCGATATGATTGAAATTACAAATACATGTAACGTGGTGCTCTGATTCAGCATTCTGCTGATCACCGCTAAATGCACAGCGCTACTCTGATCACCGCTAAATGCACAGCACTACTCTGATCACCGCTAAATGCACGGCGCTACTCTGATCACCGCTAAATGCACTGCGCTACTCTGATCACCGCTAAATGCACAGCCCTAAATGCACAGCGCTACTCTGATCACCGCTAAATGCACTGCGCTACTCTGATCACCGCTAAATGCACCGCTCTACTCTGATCACCGCAAAATGCACCGCTCTACTCTGATCACCGCTAAATGCACCGCGCTACTCTGATCACAGCTAAATGCACCGCGCTACTCTGATCACCACTAAATGCACCGCGCTACTCTGATCACCACTAAATGCACTGCGCTACTCTGATCACCGCTAAATGCACCACACTACTCTTTTTTCTCCTTATTTTCTCCCCAACCCTCCTTCATTGTAACATAATAACATATTCGCTGCCTTGTCATTGAGCATTTGTGCTCGTTTGGATTTGCGAATTCAAATAAAGTATACATACATACATACATTACCGCTAAATCCACAGCACTACTCTGATCACCGCTAAATGCACTGCGCTACTCTGATCACCGCTAAATGCACAGCGCTACTCTGATCACCGCTAAATGCACCGCGCTACTCTGATCACCGCTAAATGCACAGCGCTACTCTGATTACCGCTAAATGCACAGCGCTACTCTGATCACTGCTAAATGCACAGCGCTACTCTGATTACCGCTAAATGCACAGCGCTACTCTGATCACCGCTAAATGCACTGCGCTACTCTGATCACCGCTAAATGCACAGCGCTACTCTGATCACCGCTAAATGCACCGCGCTAGTCTGATCACCGCTAAATGCACCGCGCTACTCTGATCACCGCTAAATGCACTGCGCTACTCTGATTACCGCTAAATGCACTCCGCTACTCTGATCACCGCTAAATGCACCGCTCTACTCTGATCACCGCTAAATGCACCGCGCTACTCTGATCACCGCTAAATGCACCGCACTACTCTGATTACCGCTAAATGCATTGCGCTACTCTGATCACCGCTAAATGCACTGCGCTACTCTGATCACCGCTAAATGCACAGCGCTACTCTGATCACTGCTAAATGCACTGCGATACTCTGATCACCGCTAAATGCACAGCGCTACTCTGATCACCGCTAAATGCACTGCGCTACTCTGATCACCGCTAAATACACAGCGCTACTCTGATGACCGCTAAATGCACAGCGCTACTCTGATCACTGCTAAATGCACTGCGATACTCTGATCACCGCTAAATGCACAGCGCTACTCTGATCACCGCTAAATGCACTGCGCTACTCTGATCACCGCTAAATACACAGCGCTACTCTGATGACCGCTAAATGCACAGCGCTACTCTGATCACCGCTAAATGCACTGCGCTACTCTGATCACCGCTAAATGCACCGCGCTACTCTGATCACCGCTAAATGCACCGCGCTACTCTGATCACCGCTAAATGCACAGCGCTACTCTGATTACCGCTAAATGCACTCCGCTACTCTGATCACCACTAAATGCACAGCACTACTCTGATCACCGCTAAATACACTGCTCTACTCTGATCACCGCTAAATGCACAGCGCTACTCTGATTACCGCTAAATGCACAGCGCTTCTCTGATCACCGCTAAATGCACTGCGCTACTCTGATCACCGGTAAATGCACCGCGCTACTCTGATCACCGCTAAATGCACAGCGCTACTCTGATTACCGCTAAATGCACTCCGCTACTCTGATCACCGCTAAATGCACCGCTCTACTCTGATCACCGCTAAATGCACCGCGCTACTCTGATCACCGCTAAATGCACCGCGCTACTCTGATCACCGCTAAATGCACAGCGCTACTCTGATTACGGCTAAATGCACCGCGCTACTCTGATCACTGCTAAATGCACAGCGCTACTCTGATCACCGCTAAATGCACTGCA